CCACCTTAACAAGCAGGCGACATTTACCCTGTAAGCACCAAGGCCAGGAGGAAGTCGGATCCCCTCTGGCAAAGTCCTCCTTCCTTGGGAGTGAAGTCCCCATATAGTGATTGGCCTCGAGGAGGCATTTCGGGGTGTGACGGGAGGCACCCGCTCTCCCCTCCTGCTAGAAAGCAAGTCTGCACCCTACTTGACTACCTGAGGTCATTAGCACCTCTTTCTCAAAGGCCAGCAGCTATCTAGGTACCAGCGCCTAAAACAGCAGGTGGCACACAGCCTGTCCCCCTGGACCTCGGGCCGCCTAAAGCACTTTCTGTTGACCCCCACACCCAGCGCCCCTCATCCCCATTTCTGTCCCTTTCCTTCCCTTCTGTTCCCTGGAGGATCACCCTGAGGTCCAGTTAGGGGTTACATGCCACGCCAAATCTCAGGGGCGGGGTGGCAGAGTTCATAAACGCCTGGGTCTAGAAACTCTGGACAAAGTCCCAGCGCCACCTAGTGGAAAGATCTGGGAAATGCGATGCGACCACACCCTGCATTTTGGTACAGATGCTAAGATTCCAGCAAATCAGCATCTCAAAATTCATAGCCTTTTGGAAGGCTGCAGAGGTACAAGGAAACTAACCTTGTACTCAGATGTCCCGATTTATAGGGTGGCTGGACTAGCGTAGGGAAAACGCTGGGCAAGGAAAGACAGGACTCAGAAGTAGAAAATCTCCCATCCAAAGTTGGCCGGGCGGCCCACATAGAAGCAGAACCCTGAGCAGAGCTAACATCTGCGAGGCATTTACGATGTGCCAGGCTGGCGCCAAGTGCTCCATGCATATTCATGCCTTCATTTTGGCCCCTGTGAGGGGAACAGAAAAACAGATCCAAGGTTGCGTGGTGCAAGTCTCGAGCCAGCGCTTGATCCCAGGCTGCCTTTAGCCAGATCCTGGATACTGAATAGCAAAGCAATAAATGGATAGGTAGCAGTTCCACCCGGGCATGCCAAAGGCCACTTAGACAGGCTGCTGTCCCTAGATCTCTGAGCCAAACCCTACCAGTTCAGAACTCTGCGTGTTGGCAGAAGCAAGTATGAAAATGGACTCGCCCATGACTTTCTTTGCTTCATCCTGAGGTCCCATCCTGGGCCATCTATGTGCAACAGCAGGATGGGCTTCACCCCCTGCCACAGTCACAACCCCTTCATCTTGGTCAGGTGGGTTTAACTCCAGAGACTGGCGCCTGGGCCTGGGGCCTGGGTTTACATATTTTTGGTAATAAAGTCCTGTGTCCTCACAGTCCTCCCACCCCCACCTCCACATCGTGATGTGCAAACATCTGGAAAGAAGACCAAAGTCAAGGAACCAGGGTTCATGAGAAGAACTCAGGTTTGGGCACCCAGCTGCCTTCCTTGGAGACCTTGAAGAGTTCCTGCCTCCTGCTCTTGATCTGAAAAATGGGGAGCACTGCACCTGCTGCTAAAGCTGTAAGCTCTGTGCTGTGATTAGTTTGTGCACAGGAGTATTTTACTTCTTCATTGAAAACACCAATTGCCCATCTCCACACTCCAATGGCTTTCTTTTTCCCATCATAAGCAGACATGCATTTAGAGACGTTCCTCTCTACGTGAAAAGACAAAACATAACTGTGCAAGGCTGATGAACTCTGGCCCATGGCCTTTGTGCCAGGAGACAGTAGGTCAGGGGCAAGCACAGGAAATGGAAAAGACCCACTCCATCCAAAGGGTCTGCATTTGTTAGCAGCCCCTGAGTCCATGTAGAAATGCAGACCTGGTGCTGCCAGATCTGTTAGTGACTTTAACAAGAGCTAGACTTTCACAGAAAAATATACTGGCTGTGTGAGCACTGGCTGCATTTTTTTTGAAAATTCCAGTTACCAAGGCAGGCAGGAATGCCTGGTCACCAGTATGTGTGGCCACACACACATGAGACACCCAGGCTGGCGTGGGTAATTTTGTCAGACTGAATTAGTAATTTTGTCAGACTGAATTTTCAGAGGAGAGTTTGGAAGAATTCCTCTTCCCACTGTTTTTACCTTTCCTTCAAGACTCAGTCACAGACCACCTGCTATGAGGTCCCCTCTGTCCGAACCTGGTCTTCCACAGCTGGCTCTGCCTCAACTAACTGTAGTAGTGTGAAGGAACCTTCCCTGCATGTGGTCCTGTCCCCTGGAAGGAAGAACCTTGCTCCAGGGTGCGGCCCCTGCTTACCCTCTGATTCTTCTCTCCTGCCTAACACTAGACTGCCTATGCTGGGTATTGACAGTAATATTACTCCCTGTACATTGAGTACCTTGAATTCTAGTTCCTCTGGCCACAGAGTGGATCCCTCTCACCAGCAAAGGAGTTGGGGGAGAGTTTATTGATCATTCCTCATCCTCACCTTCTCACTGGGACCTCAAAGTGGTCATTAGAAAGGTAGAGATCTCTATTGATGTAGGTATAGATGTAGATGTACACGCATACATAAAAATATAGCCATACAGGTCTAATTGTTCTGCAACTTATGGGTCAGTGCATTGCACCACAGAGTCCAACTGAGTGTCTGGAAACTCTCTTAACCTAGTTTTGCAGTGTAGCTCAGCATCTAATCTAACACGTAGCTATGAAGACTATAAAAAAGCACCATAAAGGACTGGCAACGGGAGGCAGAGCAGGGGAACCCAGGAAGGATGAGGGGTAATGCGTGGGTCACTGCTGAGGACAACGGAAGCTTAGTCCTTCCAGACCCTACTAAAGCCCCACTCCCTCACTGCTTGTTAAGAACTGTTGGCTCCCTCAACTTCGGGCAGTCTGAGTCCATCGGCATCGGGGCCACACGTGGGGAGAAGGGGTACAGGGGCATCCAGGGCTGAGCTCAAGTGGACCGAGCAGAAGCTGACTGAGCCCTTCAGAATCCCTTGCAGGAAAACAGCACAGAAGCCCATCTTTACACTTAGAGAATAAATTACCGAAAGTTGACCCAGATGCCCGAGGCCTGGTGAAGTAGCCCCCAGGGCTCCTCACTGAAAGCTCAGCTCCTGGCTGCTTTGCTGCTCAGCTCAGATGACAGAAGTGAATTTCCTCTCCACTCCTTCCTTCCCTTCAGGTTCCGGGAAGTGTCTTTATAAGCCATGACCAAAGTACGGTGCAGAGCGCCATCCAACAGAAAAGCAGGCTCGTTAAAACTAGTGTCTTCACCTTATTCGCTGAATCGGCTCTCATTACACACAGCTGAGTCAAGTAGAAATTGATAGGCAGTTGGACGGGGCCAGACCCTCAAGAGAGTCCGTACAGAAGATGAAAACACACTGCAGCTGCGGCTGGAGGCCAGGCTTCAGGACGAAGACAGAATGACCAGGCCTGTGTGCCTCCCGGGGGATAGGTGGTAACACCTGGTCCAGTAAAGTCTAGCTATCAGTCACCTCGGTGGGGGACCACGGCCTCTGGAATCAACCTTTCCTGCAAGTTCCATTCTTTCCATGCACACGTGCTGCCTGACCTGCATCTCCACTGGATCAATGACAGCTAAGTGGCTTCACTGCTGTCTTATTAGCTGACCACGGCTTTAACCACATTATGCCACCCCATGATTTTGCTCTGAAACCCCTCCTGTGAAGGGGTCTTCTTGGCACCCGCTCAGGACCCCTGCTGCCTCTCAGGACCTGTATCTTTCCCTCTCAGTAACTGTTCCCTCCTCTTAACTCCCATTGTTCCTGAGAACTAATTCTTCCATCTGGGGAGATGAACTCGGCCTGTCTGACCTCTGACAGGCTGGGGGTTACAGTTCCCTTACATCACTTGGAGGTGCGTCATCATCCCTTATCAGTGTGACTTCTGGCTCCTCCCCGGAGTCAAAATGACCCTGCAAGGCAAACTAGTGACTCAGCCCGGGACAGAGGCACAGGCTCAGTGAGGACAGAGGAGAGCACTTCCGGACTGCTCCAGAAGTAGCCGAAACCGCGGGGCGCGAGTTTGAAGCAAGGGGAGGGGAGTATTGGAGGGTGACTCCCGGCAGTGTGTCTCTTACTGTCACAAACTGCTAATCCAAACATTTACCGCATTTCTTATCGCCCCTGATCTGATCCAGCCTGCTGAAACAGCATGTAAAACAGAGGTGCTTTTCTTCAAACACATTCCAGATAAAACTGAAACTATTTATTTAAAAACACCAGAGGATCTGGCGGCGGCAGCAGCACTGCCTGGAAGGGAGAGAAGGGGGAAGAGCTGGAAGAGGGGGAAGAGGGGCAGACAGAGGAGGAGATGAGGGTGCAGGCAGGGAAAGAGCAGCAGCGTCCCAGAAGAGGAGCGGCTGGTGGAGGAGACCGAGACGCTGCGTGGGGAGGGGTGAAGCGCCCTTGCTCAGGCAGAGCTTCCATAGCTGGGCATCAGAGGCCAACGGGATTAAAAAGGAGGATAAGGACTGAAATCAGTGGGGTGGCCGGACGTTCAGATGAGCCCTCAAAACCAAAGTCCACTGAAGAAATCAACTGGCTGGGAAGGTTAAAATCCCACTGTGGCAAAGGGACAGTAACGTCGGGCAGCAGGGCAGAGTTACAGATGCCAAGGAGAAAGTGAATGTGCCCAAGGGCCAGGGCCAGGGCCAGGGCCAGGGCCAGGGACAGGCTGGAGAGGAAGCACGCCAGGCAGCACCCAGGCAGGGCAGTGGACACTTTCAGAGGCTGCGTGCGGAAGGCAGGCTGCGTGGCCGGAGGAGCCACAAGATGCCTATGTGCTACCAAGCACATACTTCTCTTATTTAGCCAAAACTAACTATTCTTTAGTAACTCATAAGCTAGCAGGGAAACAGCGTGTTGGTGTACTTTTTATCAGCTTAAACATATAAAAGTGACAGAGAAACATCAAGTGTAAGGGAATCGTGACAGGAACCGAGAATCTCTCTAGGATGCTGACTGACTAAAAGAAATAGCTGAGGTGTACACATTTCTAATCCAAATGTTTGATCTGATTTGAGGCCGATGTGGGTCGATAAAATCACAAGCCACAGTCTCAGGAATTTAGGTCAGGTTGTATGTTAGCATTTTAATGAAGTCCTAAGTAAAAGTAAATAGGAACAACAGATGGAATGACGAATTACATGAGAAACTGTTAACTACAAATCCAAGACATACAAAATAGGTTACTTTTTCGGTTTATTAAAACAAAACTACATTTCTGTGCTTTTCACAATACAGTATCAGGCATAAAAATCAACCATTTCCAGGTAAATTTCACTCACAAAACTCAACACAGTATTATCTTACAATACTTTTGAAGTAATTCTTTTTACAACACTAACATTTCTTTGTACAACAAAACTTTTAACACCTTCCATCAAGACATTTAGCCCTTTAACTAGAAATAAGGTCAAGAGAGTCTTTCAAAGCAATCATCAGTTTATATTAAACTAAAATGCCAGGTGGTGACTCTCAGGTTCCTAAAAAGTGTTTTAAAAAACTGATTTGTGTACCGTAGTCTTAGAAACATCAATGATAAGTACTACCATTTCTAAACACCAGATCTAAGGATAAAAATCTCCATTCTATTATGCAATGTTTTCTTCTAGATCCGAAAGCAACATTATTTACCCCAATTCATCTTTATATTAATTCTACTATATTCAGTAAAAAAGCCAGGGTTAGTGACGGCTGATCTTTCCGCCAAAGGAAAGTGCTAGGACCACCTGTGTACAATTCTCTGTGCTGATTCTTTCCAGGGGAGAAAAAATACATCCACTGAATGTGACATTTCATTGTGCAAAATGCAAGCAAATTCTACATCAGTGCCACCTAGAGCTACCGTCTTGTCTCCTTAAAGAACTTACCTAGTATAATGTTCTCCAAAATTTCCCACAGGATCCTAGTGAGAGGTACAGAAGTGTCCCAAAAGGGAGAAAGGTCCTGAGGTCAAGGCAGTCCGGGCCATGCTGGCTCCGAAGCTTCTGGCCGCCAAGGCCAAGGCCGTGCAGACTGTAGGTGCTGCGGCAAGCCTCCGCTCCCAGCGGCTGGGACAAAGCCCCTCTCACAGAGCACTCACGCTGCCTGCAGCGCTACGGGAACTGCTTCCTCCTCGGGCTTCAGGGACTCTTCGCCGGAGCCTCCACGCAGGGCCACTCCGGACATTTTCTCTACTCAGCCTGGGGATTCCACAGGACTTGACAGATCTGAGAAGGAAGACGCAGCGCTTTCTCGGTTCCTGGTTCTCCACGCTTCACTCTGCCTTTGTTTTTCTTAGAATTTTAGAAGAGAAAAGTCCACCTTTTCTTCTGAATTACTTCAGACATTCTCGTTTTAAAAAACAGTACAGCTTCATATTGCTTCTTATTGGGTTTTGTTTTTTTTTTTCAAACTCGACTCACAGTTTTCCCCTAAAGGGCATGCATTTCGGCTGGACAGAAATGCAAGAGTAAACTGTAATAAATTATTTACAAGCACCTAGTTTGGTCAACATGGAAGCCATCCACTGTCATAAAACAAAGAAAATTTAACCTATGAGCGAAACAGTGCTACCTGGAAGCTTTACCGCGATGACTTTTCCCAGTAATGAGGCACTGAAGAATGAGTTGTGCTAAAATTAACTCAAGGTCAGCTTGTCTGGATGAGCATAACTTTGGTTGAGATTTTTCTTCCTTAAAAAAAGTTTCAAAGCACCAGTTAATTACCAAAAAGCATGCGTGTTTATCCTCACAGTGAGTTGAGTGGTGAGAGCTAGCAAATTGCAGTCCCCGAAGCATATGACTAAATTTTTTAAAAGAACCCAAAGGGAAAGTAAAGCAAGAGAAGCCACAGCTTCCCCTTTCAGGCTGGCACAGCAGCAGCTCTCTGCAGAAGTGACGGGCAGAGCAGATGCCCACTGGGAGTCAGTCCCGGCTTCGACTTCCCAGCTGAGAGTCTGGGCGATCCTGGATGTGCAATTTAGAGGACAGAAGAAGAGAGGGCAAGAAGGAAGGAGGGAAGGAGAGAAGAAAAGATGGAAGGAAAGAAGGACTAGAAGGAGGGAGGGAAGAAAAGAGCAGGCAGAGACAGACAAGCAGACAGGCAGGTAGACAGGCAGGTAGACAGGCAGACAGGTGAAACATTTGAGTCTCCTGTTAAACACCCAAGGGAGTAAACAAGGCTCCCGGGTAACCCCAAGAACAGCCAAAGGAAATGTCCCTCTACCCTGGTTTATAAGATGAAAAGTTCAAAGGTGATCAACCCACTCTACATCACAGTGGCTACGACTCACGGTGACTTAGGAGTTCCTACAAAGATGAAGAGAAAACGCATTTTACACACAGTTTGAGAAGAGCAGAAGGCGATCACATTACTGCTAGGAGTTTCAAACAAGACTACTTCATAGGAGTTAAAGCATCCATCAGTGCCCCTCTCTCCCCCAGCTACACATCAGTCACAAGGTATTATCACCGTTTAAAATGCAAACTTTGGAAAGTATAAACTGATTCTCAATACCTGTATACTAAATGCAACAGTCATCAGAAATTATTTCTAGTTCCATGATACTTTAGAGATAAGGGATTGTGAATTGTTAGAAAAAAATTTTAAGATTATACGATCATTATCACCATAATTACCACAATTACCTAACAATTCTGCTCCCTCCTCACAAAAAGACTCCTGTCCATTAAAAGCAGACAACTTCTATATTTGCCTCTACATGGCACTGGGTCTTACGCAGACAAATGACAAAATATTTCTTAAGAAACATGATTTCTTCTCCAAGCTAAAAATCCATCAATGCCTCCACCATTCACGAAGCAGTAGGCTCGCTGTACATGTCACACAGGCTGTTCACTGCACAATTCAAGTGCATTCTTGTCACCCAGCATCGAGTGCAGGGCGCGACCTGTGTGCAGGACATGACAGCCCAGGTACTGGACATGGTTAGAGTCCCACAGACTTAGCCAACCCCACTAGGGCACCTGCTGTTAGGTTGCAGGATTTCTAAGCAACAGCGGTCCCTGACAGAGGCAGTGGCTGCCCCCCAACCCCTGCCGAGGGGTGAGAAGGGTACTGACATGAAACAGGAAGGAGCATTTTTAAATACTTGCTGGTCATTTAAAACTCCATGGCACTTTTTTCAATAAGCAACAGTTTTCAGTGCCAATTTTTTGGATAACTTTATCTTGAATTCTGCCAGCCAAATTTATCTGCCAGTGTTGGCTATTTAATCACAATAGCTCGATTCCTGACCTAAACTCATAGTTTTTGTTTTCATGTAGCTCTTAAAAGACTTTCCAAATCTGACTGCGAAGTGCGGCACGGTGATACCTGGGTACGATGTCTCCCAGCCCACTCATCTGCAAAGCACTTGGAAGTGAGCAGGGCTCCCACTCAGAATTTAGTTACTACTGACCAAGATAAAATGGAAAGAGTGAATGGATGAGTTGATTACTTTTAAAGGCAATATTAACCATTAATCAGAAAATAAACCAATGAATTACCCCATGGCATTATGAATCCTATCCAAGATTCAGTTCTCACATACAACTTCTGTGTCCATCACAGCAATTCGTCCTTAAAAGTTGCACTTCAAATGTAAATCTTTAATAAACTTCAAAATAATTTATTGAGATTTCATCTAGGAACCTATTGATTATGGGCTGCAGACAGAGGCTGAAGGCCTCCCGAGTGTCATCCGCAGGTCGCTGCCTCTCGGGGCTGGGAAGAACACAGTCCAGAAGGAGAAGGCACTTGTCTTCCGGAGGTCACCTCGGGCCCGGGCAGGCCTGGTCATGCGGTGATGCCTGCCGCTCTGAGGCCAGAGGGTGAGCATGCGAGGGACTCGTCTCCAGCCTCCACTTGCCAGAGGTGCCACAGTCACCTACAGCACCACAAAACTCAGAATGTATTCTAGCAGTTTCTGCCGGTTGCATTGAGGTAGGAAGGTGCTGCTCAGTTCTAAAATAGGTACTCTCTTTTGCTTGGTCTCTTTGAAAACCTAGAGAGAAAACTTAGAGTAAATGAAAAGCAAAAAATAAATGGGGAGTACACTTTCCTGTGTCCAGTCCTGTCTGCCCTGTGTTCTAGACCCCTAAGGCAGTCCAGGTGCACAGAACTGAGAACTGTGCGGGGCCCATGGCCGGGGAGCTGTGCGAGCGTGAGGCAGGAGGCTGCCCCAAGTCCAGCCAGAGCACCGTGCTTCAGACTTTACCAGGATAAAGTCAGAAGCAGCCTCCTAAAGAGGCAGCTGAGACCTCTGCAGTGTCCATGCTCCTCACGGTACACAATAGTACAGGACACTTAGGACACTCCTAACAACACTAGTAAAAGTGTAGGGCTAGGGCTAACAACGGAAAATCATACAGAGTAAGCAAAAGCCAACAATAACAAACCTGGTGGCCTGTGGGGAAAAAGGATCCCTTCTCCACTGTGGGTGGGAGTGTAGACTGGTGCAACCACTGTGGAAATCAGTGTGGAGATTCCTCAGAAAACTAGGACAGAGATTCCATTTGACTGGGCTATTACCCTTTTGGGCACCTCCCCAGAATTAAACACCTTGCACCACAGCAATAAATGTGCACCCACATTTATTACCAGCACAGCTGGTAATAGCTTAATCTCAGAAACAGCCCAAATGCCCAGTAACTGGTGACTGGATAAAGGTGGGGTTTTCTTATACAGTGGAGTACTACTCTGCTATAAAGAAGGACACACTTGAGACACTTCTAGGAAAATAGACATACACTGAGTCCATACTCTGAAGTGAAATAAATCAGACACACATGTGTAAATACATTATTGTTTCTCTGATGTGAGAAACCGAAAGTGTAAATAAGAACTACAATGTACAACAGGCATTGTAAAACAGAAAGAAAATGTTCAAATGTGGAGGGGACCAAGGGAGAGGGGAAACGGAAAGAAGGGGAAAATTTTTTTAAAAAGTGAGAGAAAAGATGAAAGCAAAGCTTTTGTAAATGGGGAGGGGAGGAGGAGTTGAAGGGCGGGTAAGGAAATGGGAAAAAAAAACCAGGTACATCATGTACAGGTGCAGATTCTCTGTGATGAATGTGATTATTATGTATATCTAAAATGTACCAATTTAAAAAAAGAATTAAAACCAAACTTGCAGAAGCAACTTGAACATATCAATATCGATTATAAACACACAGTTGGGAATAAATGCAAAACCAGCAAAATGTTGGGATAGTCAAAGAGAGTCATGCTGAAGGGTGTCGGCTCCAACCCGTCCTCTGCACCCTAACCCCCAGAAACATGCTTCCACCTCAACTAGTAGACAGGGCTTCTCTGGGGTCCACCCCAGCACAGAGGCAGGCAGGCAGACCATCTCCAGAGAGCAAGAGTTAGCACACTTTTATCCATGAGCAGCGGACACCTACCCCGATATCCTTCAACATCTTCACAGCGTTCTTCACGAGACAGTACGTGGCACTCTCCGCTGCAGAGAAACAAGAGGGCCCGTCAGTGTGTAGGCCCAGCGCACGTGACAGCCCTAATGTCCCCACCGGCAAGCCGCACACGCTGCCAGGGAGAGGAGTACAGCAGGTCAGCAGGATGGGCAAGGTCGGTCTCAGCCACCAGAAACCACTGAGGTCTCTCCCACATGGTCACTGTTTCTTTGAACCTACTCTGTCATCTATTAAGGATTTGTTAAAAAAGACATAGACGTTAAAGAGAAGGAAGGAAGGAAGTGGAGCCAGCTAAAGCACCTGTCCTGCAGTTCTGTGAGAACAAGGAGTGAATGCTCTTTCAGCTTCACAGTGATACACAGATGATCCCCACACTCGTGAAGCCAGAACCAGCCCAAGTCCAGTGGTCAGGAAAGAACAGTTCTGAACCCCAGCTTGCCATTAGCTAGGTATGTGAACTTGGACGGTTTCCTCACCCCAAACGGAAAGTAGCTAAATTAAATGATCTCTAAATACCTCCTGCTCTAAAACTTGATTCAACATAACTTTAGTTCCAAACCATATCTAAAATGCTATTTCCACACACCAACCACCACTCTTAGAAAAAGATGATAAAACAGGCAACACTGTCAGAACTGACCAGGGTGCGGAGCTACTGAAACGCACCCTTTGTGGGAACGCATGCTGGCACAGACCCGCAGTGCCTACTGAAGCTAATATGCCACACAACGTGCCCGGCCCTTCCAGCCCTGTACCTGCACAGAGGCACATATGCGACCACAGACATTCTCCCAAAGACACACAGCAACACTACACAAAACAGCTCTAACCTACACCACCCATCCATCGACAGCAGAATGAATGCAATGTAGTAAACACTTACACACTGGAACACTGCACAGCAACAAGGACACGGAAAACTGCATGCAACATGGATGAATCTCACAGACATGGTAAGTGGAGAGAGCCAGACAGAAGCGTCTGGAACTGGTCAGTTAATTTATGACATATTAAAGCACATAAAGGTAATGATCTACAGAGAGGTCAGGATAAGTTTTTTCTAATTTACTATAATTGGATTTCTGTAACAAACTTTTTTTAACACAGTTTTAAAAAGAGGTCAAAATGGTGCCTTAACATACCATAAACTGCAACCTTTCTCTCTGTCCTGGTCAGCAGGTATTTGTGCAGCTTCTGCAGATACTCAGGCTCAGGAATGGGACCGCTGAAGTTGTGAGCAAAGATGGCAGCAGAGCTGTAGGCTTCCAGCAAGGGCCCGAGGAGCCGCTGCAGAAAGGCGATGAACTGCTGGTGCTCCTTGGACTGGCTCACCTGAGGATGCGATGGCAGGAGATGAAGTCACGAGGAAGGGACAAGAGAAGCGAAGCAAGCTGATGAGGATTTGCTCTGGAGAAAGCTCCTTTCTCGGGAGCGCAAAGATGGCCACTCACACAGGAGCAGCCACTGCTCCTCCTGCAGAGAATCTGCTGGAAGTAACTGCTGATACTGAAAACTGCAATTTTGCTGAAGAAAATTGCTGATACTGCTCTTTACTGCAATCACTCACTTTTATAATGTTTGAAGCTTGACTTCCTTGAACCATCATCTGGGAGAAATTTTCATAATTGAATGGCACCATGACACACCATCGTCACTGTGCATAGCAGCTGCTTAGGCGGAGCGCTGCAGTTGGAAGCCCGAGTTCAACAGCCACTCATACATGCGCAGGCACAGACAAACCACCAAGAACCCCTCGGCCCCTCCGCAGCTCCCACTTGCTGCCTCTCCCCAGACCCTACCATGTCTAGCCTGCGGAAGGGGAAGGCCACAGAGAAGGGGTGCCTCACACTGTCCTACTCAAAACACGCAGGCCCATGTAAGCCTCTGAGGAGTGTGGAAGCAAGATCACTGCCCAACCCTGAGACTGTTAATACTCAGACAGAAAGAGAGAATTTCTAAATGTCATTCAAAAATAAAAGTACTCCCCCCTATAGGGAGCACGAGCACGGGTAAGTAAGCAGGCACCTGTGCATTTCATGAGTGATGAAAGAGACCTCCTGCGGCCTCCTCTTCCTGACTTCTCAACTTCCGTTTCCTTTCCCACTTAGCAATCCCCACACTGCAGTGGTTTGATAGTCTCTACTTGCCAGAAGGTACCAGAGCTGGTGAGTGGGTGCATCAGATACAAATGAATGACCAGAATGCAAGTTCATCTCGCTGTGACATGACCCTTAACTCATCACTGTGAAGCACCCCGAAATTTTTCACCAAAGTACCTTCAGGTAGCAATCGCGCTGCTCCTCACCAAAATCACTGTCTTCATCTTCTTCGTCACTTCGCCAAGACAGTGGTTCAGGAAGCTTCTTGTCCCACTGCTGCTCTGCAAGACCAGGACTGATATCTTCCTGTTCTTCTTGCTATGCCAAGGAGATGGCCAACAGTAAAAGAGCATGCATGGACACAGAGGAGCTGCCACGCTGGATCCCAGACAAAGCAGTCTCCTCCCTTCTCAGCCTCCCACTCCCTCGTGTTTGGCCATCCCACCACCAATCACCTCCCTGTCCAGACCACAACCACCCAGCAGGCAGCAGGGAAGAAAGAAAAACAGGGCCTCAGGGAGACAGCTACAAGACAGATGGAATAAAAACACTCTCACATTGTCTAAACTAATGCCTGCCTACCTCCTGAGGCCCTCCTCTCTACACTAAATCTACCGAGGTTAAAAAGTCTTGGAAGAGAAATACGCATTTGTGCAAGCTATGAGCACAGCAATGTGTACATCTCATCTTAGGATGCAACTTCTGAAGCCTTCGAATCAGGCTGAGGTGATGCCACTCACACAAAAGAAAGCAAATAGTAATCCCAAAGAGCATTCACTACCCTCATTGTCATTTCTCTTCTCTCACTTGGGCATAGCTACAGAAAATATAATTATTAGCTAAAATAACTGGTAAAAATATGGTTTAAATATTGGTAGAAAAGATAAGAAAATGAAGAGCAAAAAGCTAAATGACAAAAGACAGTGTCCTCTTACCTCCGCCACTGTGAGAATGCCATACTGAATAAACCTTCCTACTGTTTCATGGCAAACTTGATAAAAAGTCTGGCAGGGCTGAAAAGAAAAAGCATTGCAATGTAAGTGTCACTGTTCTATATTCTTTCTTAAAGATAAAAAGTGTATAAAATGACTGCCAAATCTGGTCACTCAATCACCTTTCCCAGGCAAGTCCCATGACTGCCAGCCCTCACTTTTGATAAATGCCTGGCGGCTGAGGCCTCAAACAGGGAGACCTCTTCCCCTGACTGGTGCACCCTAACACAGCACTAACTGCAGGGGGCGCTCTCAAGCCCAGGTTCTCCCCTGAAGGAAGGAGCATGTTCTATGAAGGCAGCTTTGCAGGGCCCCACCACTGGTTCCCTTTTCTTTACAAAGCCCATCTTACAACAAAGATAGTTCACAAAAGTAGTGAAGAAGAAAACAGCATTCCAGCAACTAAAAAAGGACCCAACAAAGGACAAGGCCAATCACACCATCCTACTACCCACAGTTCATACAAAACAGGTTCCCCAGAAAGGTCCACCCACCAGCCACACCCAGCAGGATGCAAAGAAGGCTGTACCCAAACTCAGGTGCTCATGAGTGGCCCCAGACACAGTCATATAGGGAAAGAGAATGTTAGAATGCAAATAAAACATGGTTCTACTTGATGATTTTGAGGGGGAAAATATATTGCTTAAAATACGTGCCTTGTTTCAAATGTTTAAATGCGCACTTGTACTGCTGGGCCTCAGTTTCCCCATTCATAAACTGATGGGGGCTGAACAGCTAATTATTAAGATAGCTTCTGACTCTCATCACCTATGGTTTTATCAGCCAAAGGAGGGTGCGTTCATTATTGACAAACACTGACCCAGTGCGTCACGCACAATCAAGGCTGAGTGACTTTGGATCTGACCATCTGAGACGGCTGGGCAAGCTATCTTTTCACACCTCAGCCCCACGAAGGCCCCATGGGGCAGTGAGCCAGATACAATCAAGACAGTTGACCCAGTGCTGCTTTAGCAGGCACTGAAACCCAGGACTAGAATAAAAGCTCCAAGAGTGGGCTAGACGTTCTGTAAGCAACGAAGATGGTTTGTGGTTCCACGGAAATGCTCGAGTGAGAGAGAACAGGAGACTCGGAGGAGCCTTCACTCACAAGAGAAATGGTGCCTTCGTTGGAGAGCAGATAGCACAGGCCGGCAGCCTTCCGCACCAGCTGCTCCTGGCTCACCATGCCACCAGAGGCGCCAGCGGGACCTCCAGAGCCCCTCTTACTCACAACTGCGTACAGGCTGCAGGCTAAGGAAATACAAAGCAATAATAAAAAGTCACTGCCAAAGTGTCTCCTCAGAAACTTCAACTGCTGTGATAACTTGGGTTTACCCTGAAGAGAGTGCTATATATCAAAAGCAATGGCCTGCACTGGCTGGAGAATTTTACATAAAACCCCACAGGACTTCACTCTCATGTTTCCATGAGAGCTCAGCTCCATTGAAGAACTTCCTGAGGGCTCCGTTCCCTCAGCTCTGCTTCCTATGCGCGCTCTAATTGCTGAGTCTTCCTCTCTCTTCACCGCCCTGTGTGTCATCTCAATCAGATTTTCAGCTCCTGGCCAGCAGGCCATCCTACCTCACCTCCACAGTAATCAATGTGCTACTAGGCATTATGGTGATTGGTCACCACTGTCATTGTCATAAACAGTGACATGGCAGCAGATTACACTTTCATTGGAAACTAAAACTGCAGCAACGCAGTCCCCTAGACAAGGGGCCATCCCCCAGAGTACACACCACTGTGTTTTAGGCCTCTCCACTTCCCAAGAAAATAGCTGGCTCTGCTGCAGGCCTGACATACCTATGATGGCCTCCATGATAAAGACGTGAAGTACCCCATTGCTGTAGAAGTTGAGTTCAAAGACTGATGGGACAGTTGTGCTGGGAGTAATAAAAAACTCGTCATTCCTGCTGGTGTGTGTGATGGTGACACAATTTCCCAGCAGCTGTATAGCATGCATGACAACATCTTCTGAGTTTCCTGAGAACCCCAGATCAAAATCACGAGCCAAAACTTCTTCCTTCATCACAAAGAAGTCTTCTACCAATGTGGAGAGATCGATTCCCTAAAGAGACAGAAATGGTGTCATAACAGTGAAAAGACCCAGAAGTCAATATGCCAGGATTTCCTGCCTGAGCTTTCCCATGGCTTGTCACTCTGGCACCTATAGAAATAGGCCCAGATTACCAATGCAGAGCAAAGCAAAATCACTCACAAAGCTGCTCCCCCAAGATTTCATGATACCCCACCTGCCAGAGACCACTGTAGCCACATCACATGCTATGAGAATGGTAAGACCACAAAAAGAAGGGAACACTATCTAATAATGAGAAGTGCTTATTTTTTAGCAAGTATTCTCTACTTTTTAAACATTACTTGACAAATCTTTATTTGGTAAGCACATACTGGCCCTATCTGGTGCTGGGAATGTGACTGTAAGACAGACATCATTTATCCCATGTGCTTAGATGAGCACATTGTGGGCAGGCACCCTGTATCTAAAATACAAATCACGGCCTCTCCGCCCCTGGACACCTGGTATGCATCAGTGAAGTGCCCCTCATTTACTTTAATTATGTTAATACCTGTATTAATAATCTGATTTTCCCTTACCAAGTCTGCCAGCCCCTGTGGGCAGGGTCCTTGCCTTATTTCATTGCTTATCTCACTAGCACTAGCCAGGAGTAGTCCAGGTCTACCCTGAGTCAGTGTCTGAATGACTGACCTACACTGAGCTTTCCCACTGCATGCGGTGCTGCTAGTGACAGCACAGACCCACCTGCCTGTGTCGGTAGAGCAGCAGGCAGGCCACGAGGTGGGTGGACATGACGGCGCAGGACTTGCTCGCAGCTGGAAGCAAACATAGAGCTTAGTTGCATCATTTTCTAATGTAGCTGAGGCCCTTTTAAAGTGTCTTCATTATCATCGGGAACATTTAAAACTATAAAATCCCTCCAACATATTTCCTCCAAATGAAACTTGCCAAAAGGAAATTAGACCATGCCTCAGATGGAGCCTCATGAGACATCATGATTCAACATGCCAGTCCAGCAGGTCCACCATCAACGCAGGCTGGTGGAATTAGCAAAGTAAATGGCCATGGGACACCTTTACGGAAGCAGCAAGACCTCAGGTGTGAGCCTGTGCTGGAGCTCTACCTGACACCCCTCCTTCATGCTTCTTCACTTATTCTCGTCCGCCACATTAAAATGACAGTGTAGTAAAGAGAATAAAGGAGATCTGAAGTCAGAAAAATCTGGGCTCAAATCTCTATGCTAATTAGTTTCATAACTTGGAAAAAATTACATAAATTTCTGAGCCACAGTTTCAAAACATACTACATAGCTGACTGGGAGAGAAGGAAGTAAGAGCGAGGCAAGGCCTCACTGCCATGGGCGCTCAACACAGCTCCACGATCCTTCCACCAAGGCCCAGAGACGAGGAAGGGAACGAAATGCTTGCTACTGTCCACGGTGCAGGGCCAGACACTACACATTTGTAGACAATTATCATAAAGATGATTATGTGATATGGAATAATTAGAAATAAGGGTATTACTTATGAGTTTTCTGAACAATTACAGTGAATTCATGAATATTTTACTCATTATTGAAGTTTCTAGTGTTTAAAAAAAGCATTCAGTGCATATTTATAGCCATTAAAAGTTCTTTAAAACATTAACAAGTGTGTTATCAGTGAAAAATAGCACAACACACAACTGCTGAAACCTTTTTAGAGACCTGACAGTAACACCACTGGTTCCTGAGGTAGCAGATTTGCTACTTATTTCACCTCTACTTTCCAACATTTCAATAATCAGCAGTATTATTTTTGCATCCAGATCATCGGCAGGGCAGATGGACAATGAGACATCTCCAAGAATGAGGCAGAGAACATGGTGCGGAGGTAGAACACCCACCTAGCATCCCTTGTGGCTCTGGGTTCCATCCCAACCGCCTTCGAAAGAAAAAGAAAAAGTCCTCTGGTGGACTCAAGTCAGAAAAGGCACAGCCAGGGTATAGGGAGGGAGCTGAAGGAAAGAGGCCTCCGTCACAGCATCAGCAGCACCATGGAGTCTGGCACAGGCATGGCGAGGAGGAGATCCCGCAGGCTGAGCGCAACGGCACCAGAGCGCTGGGCCAGGCTTTAAAGCAGCCTCTCTAGCCGTGCACAGGCTGCAGCATGGATCCTACAGCTGGCTCAGAATGCCCTAACTCACGCCACACTCACATGTATGCTGCCGTGAAGGGTTGCTACACAGCTATTCCACCTAGGAAAGCAAAAGCTCTCCGAGTACAGATTCCTTAAGGATTCCATCTGTGTTTCCACAGACACAACAAAAGCTTAGCATAAGAGCTCCTTAATATCTCCTGAATAACAACACCCATGAGGTCAGAGGAGAAAGGGGAACACACATAAACCTGCAGGTTGTTCCTCAATTAATTCAAAAAGCACATGCATAAGCAAAAAAGGCCACAAATAATTTGGACAAACCGTTTTTGGAAAGGACAATAACTACCATCTGAACAAAGATTGCTTAGCAAATGCTGTATGAGACATTTCACTCATATTCCCTCAAATCCACCAACATCACCTTCCTTACAACACTTCATCTCATACCACTTACAGATTAAGTAACTGACCCAAAAGGGCAAACCAATATCAGCAGGTTCAGAAACCCTGAGATTTGCTTGGTACCATGTCAAAGCTGAATTGTGGAACTAAAGACTGTGGAATTGTACTTACTGAACAGAATGTGCTCAGCCAGATTTGCAATCAACCTTCTTCGGAAGGACTCATCGGCTGCATTTCGGGACTCGTTATTGGACATGTCTGTACCTTCAGCAGCAGCATCATTAGGTCTGAAAAGACTTTTAAAGTCAGTCTCCTACTGCCACACTCCTGTATAAGGCAAACTACATGGACTAATCTGTAAGTGTATCAGCTACTTCTGGTTACTATATATTTTAAACTAAAGCCACAAATGAATTACTATGATGGGCTGTTTTCTTCCATAATATATTTTATTATTTTAACATACTCTCTTAGGTAAAATATGTTATTTAGTTATTATGAGAGTCTATCATTATATTATTTTCAAAATTCACTGCAAAAAGAATGCAGAAAGCAAGATGGCATGTTTTAAGACATGTCTGAAAACTCAGTATTTTCACCTATTAAAGAAAGAGCTTCATATCAAAATTCTCTAAGTTATAGTTCAACCTGAAATCTGGAAAATTCAAATAGCAGAATAATGTTTTGTTTATACATAATATACATAACTGAAGCTACGACCAAGAATTCAATGCAAACATTCAAAAAGATAAATCAAATACCTTACACAATTTACAAAATCAAAGATTTTACATGCACATAATCAAAAACTTCCAAACTATTATTAAAACACACTTTAATATTCTTTATCACATCAAGAGAAAACACAGTGCAGTTAGGAAATGAATAAGAAGCAGCATACTCTTAATAAAGTTAATGTCCTTTTCCATGCAATATTAGAATAACAGTTATTCAACAGTTTAGTTAATACAAAAAAATCTCTGCAAATCTTACCTTGAAGGAAGTATAGCTGGCAACAATGCTTGCTCCAGAGTAAGGGGAGCAGACACGGGTTTCTGACTTTGACTTTCTAAATATTCCTGCAAGTGGGAGTGAGGAGATCATGATCACTAATGTTACTATCTTGCCTTCATATCAACACAGAAAATATACTTTGATCTTCAAAGGTTAAAATAAAATTGTTTATAAATAATCCATGCAATAGAGCATGGGCAAAACCTTCTCTATCCTAAAACTGTCTACAGAAACAAAGTAACATTCACAAAACATTATTAAGCATGAAATTTAAGAAATGACACAAAGAACAGAAAGATGCGTAAGTAAAACTGTTTTTTTTTAAGAAGAAATTTACCTTTCTCACATCTTCATGAAAATTACTTGACATCACCAACATTAGTAATAGTGATAATAGTGACAATCTTACTCTGAAGTCAGAGTAGCAATCCAAGAGTCATGTAATATTAAAAGAAGTCCAACCCAAGAGCAAATCATATTAAAATAGAGAAGTTGTGCAACTGTTTAAAAATTAAAAATAAAGAACAAGTGGCAAAAAATGCTCAAGTTCTCCTAAGCTGAAAACATTTAAGACTAGAAAATACCTAGCATAGCAGTTAGAATCTTTTAAAGTTAAGCCAAACAGTAGAACCAAAGTAAGGTGAGACCTCTGCTCCTTATCCTTGGGCCTCTTGCTCATCCTTTTCTTTCTCCCTGTCCTGTTTGAAACACTTAGAATTTAAAGTGGCAAGGACCGAGGGCTGGGAATTTAGCTCAGTAGCCCAAATGCCTGCCGGGCAAGAGCGAGGTTGTGAGTTCAATCCTCGGTACCAAAACATAAATAAATAAACACACAAAGTGGCAAGGACCTCAGCAAACTGAAGTCCCAGACTTTACTGAGGACACTCTCAGGACATCTGGGCACTGGATATCTACTCAGTAGGACACAGCATCATTCTAAACTATCGGTTTTATCACAGTCCTCATTTATAGAAGAGGAAACAGAGACCACAGTCACACAGTACACAGGACAGAGCCAGAACAGAGCCCAGGTTTCTGGCTCCAGGTCAGGGTTTTAGCACAATTTTTTCCAACAGACTCTCACCTTTAAGGAAAATGGTTGTGCAAAATCCACCCTGACGTAGCCATAGTTTTTCCGTAACATTCGAATAACACCTCTTGCTACACTCCAAAGACTCTCATTCTTCTTAGGTTTGCCCTAAGTTTCAACAGCAAAAACAAAAAGAAAAATGAAACTGTGAGAAATAAAGCTAACATATGGATATTCTTTTTCTAAGGAATAATTTGTTTATAGAAACCATAGGTTCATCTTGAAGAAAGCAGATGAACAAAGAAGAAAAATCAAGTTTTCATTAACGTATCTGTCAGAAAATGTTTAGCACTCAAAGATGCTAAAGGATGCAGCAGTGTCATTAGGTGAGCTTAATTCAGTCAATGAAAAACATTTAACACTAGTTCATTTACTACCACGTTCATATAACTCACAAAAACAGCCCTAAGCCAGTGGAGGGCAAAATGACCTTATACCCTGAAAAACTCCTTTAAGTTCTCAGATAAAAATAAGATGCCAAATGAGTCACTTATATAAGGTCTGCTGATCACTGGAGCATAAATACCTAACTTTAAACACGGCCAAAGTCAGCTTTGTAATGTTTTTTGAGCTGATTATTTATTCAGAAAGATTTGCTGGGTATCTATGTAAGGTACAAGAGACAAAGAACAAGCAGGGCAACTATCAGGCACACAGTGACAACACATGAGAAGGATGCCGTCCAGGTAATCACCCAGGTTTGTCGCTTAATATTTTAAGTTGCTGGTTGTCAGGTATCCTTGGATTTCTTGTATGTTTGAAGCCATAATTTTGAAACAAGTATTTTGTCCAAGACTTCCATACTAAATCAGAACAAAACTAAATTCCTGGAATATTCTTACACTGCTGGTAGAAGACGTAAATTGATAAAACAAACTGCTCAAGTGTTTACAGCAGTTACTAAAGTCAGACATACACACATCATCATCATCATCCTCATCTATCTATATATATATATAATTTCTATCAATCTGTTTCTATCAGTTTCTATCAATTCTGTTCTGGAAACCTGATGAGCAAAATGCATGGATTCCAAAGGAAATATATAAGAATGATTATAGTCAAACTTTTTTTAAATAGTACAATAGAAAAAATGTGATTTACCAATATATTAAAATACTACACAGCTGTAAGAACAAAGGAACTATATACAGCAACGTGGACGAATCTCACAAACATCTCAGCTTGAGCAATGGAAACCAGATGCAAAAAAGAGAACCCATTATCCAACTTAGTAAAGCTCAGCATGGACAAAACCGATCGACCCTGTAAGAACACAGTCAAGAAGTTATCTATGAGGGGCTGAGAGCAGGAAGGGTGCCAGGGAAGTGTCGCGGTCCTGATAAAACAATTCCTTCGTTCAGTAGCTGGCTACCTAGGCCCTGTTCACTTTGTCATAACTGAATCTGCACACTTATGATTTGTGCACTCTTTGGTCACTACTAGATTTGGACAAAACAAATGCACCGAAAAAATCACTTCTCAATTTGATATACAATGGCTTTGCTGATACAACCCCACCGGTTCTTCGGGTTTCATTAAAATCATCATAAGTAGTAGGCTGCAGGAAGTAAACCACAAGAGAGAGATGACAACTCAGTGGCAAGTGTTCTTCCAGTTCCCTGTCCCGTGCTGCAGCCAGCACTGACCACTTCCTCTATACACAGAACCTTCCAGAGCTTGTGATGGAGATGAAGGCTGCTCACCATGCCCTCCCACCCACCTGCACTCATTGCTCTAAAATGAGTGCACACCAAGGAAATATTGGTACCTGACTCTGAAAGCGAATCTAAATGCCAACATCAAATCTGAAAAGCAAAGACAACTCTCATGTAGGCAGTCCTCTTACCAGCTGTTCACCATTGTAGTGACCTTCGATTATCCGATCATAGGAGATTCCAACAGGGATTATCAAGATGTCCGGGATAGTATTGGTAGACAGCGTATCCACCACCACTGACAAAAGTCCTGCACGAGCACAGGAGGTCTTCCCACTCCTGGAGCGAGTGCCTTCCAGGAAAATCTCCAAGAACTGCTGTTGCCGAAGTAGTTCAACTATGTGCTAGGATATGGAGAGAGAGGAGAGCATAGATTTAAAATCACCTAGCTTAGAATGAGCTCAGAAAAATTAAATACTAAGAAAAAACTAACTTCGCTACTAATAAAATAGTTCACCAACACCACATATGCCAAACAGCTCTGCCAACCTTATATTTTAGCGAGTAAAAAAAAAAAAAAATTCATACTTAAGCAATAATCACTCAAATTACTCTGAGAACAGGTTTTTTTTTAAAAGTTTCAAGTCAACCAAATCTTTCTCCCTCCACCATGATAATTAATACAATGACTTAAGGGTATTTAGAGATCATACACACCCCATGGAGCAAAGCTCTATAGAGAGTATCTTTCCGCCCATCTGGTGTTTCGTCTAGTCTCCGTCGTATGAAGAAACCCCCAAGCTTATGAATCAAGGTACTGTAAATTCAAGAATACATGGATTATTTTTAAGAAAAATGTAAAAAGAATACTTAATTCCAGGTTACTTCAAAGCATTTGCCGTTTGGATATAAACTCACATGCACTGTTTGAGTGCAGACTCTGGAAATGCAGACCTCCTGTAGTTTCCCGTGTTACTCACGTCTGGCTTATTTACATTACTGAGCAGCCAGGGGAAGACTGCTCTGTAGCGTGAGGGTTACTACACCAGGGCCAAACCAAAAGGAGTTTGCATGCTATACCGCCCCACAAAGGTGACAGCACAGATTTTAAGAGGACCATGGAGCACCTCTAAATTTTAAATTTTAAATCATGTCCAGTCTCATGACAGACCTTTCAGCACGCTAGCATCTGTCCATGGCACATTTACCACCAAATGAACAAAAGCTCCTTTGAAAAAATGTTCTCAACTAACTGCTGCTTAAAGAGGTTCCCTATGAGATAAGAACAATTTTATCAAACTAAAACTGAGCCTAATCATATAATCATCTTTACAAAACATGCAACAAATCTGCTTTGTTTACACATCCATAGAATCACAAGTATGTTCACAACCCTATTTCTCTCTCTGTAACACTAATGAATTCTGACATGAAGTCGAAACTTTGTAAGTCAATATTCCCAAACTCAGTGCCTCTTCCTATTCTACTCAAATAGAATAATGTTAATATAAATAAATATTAAAAGTGATACTATATTAAATATTAATATATATTTTGGCGGCCTCTACAGTCAGGATAAGGAGGCCACAGCATGACACTACCAAAGCTTAATATCACTCCTTGAAATTAAAATTGTGAAAAACAAATTCATTATGAATGAGATGAGCTATTTATAAAAATAATGCTGTGTTTGTGACTTTATAGGCCAAATGACACAAAAGAAAGCTCCATTAAACAAGCTCTTATCTGCAGTCTTAAGTCTGAAGGAATCTACTGTCTGAAGGAAGATAAACTAAGTGTAGATTTAAAAAGATCATGAAAAGGAATTTACCTGTAAGAAATTATGACCTATGGAGGACTTTCAAAAGACCCCAGCTGAGAGCAAACATAAAGGGAGGAGTAAGTGAGTGATGACAGTTGCTGCAGTCAAGGCTTCTCTGCAGGCCGAGGAATGGCCCTTTTCCCTCTGAGACACACTGCTGGCAATGTTCTAGTGACTTTCTAATTTGGCTGCTTGGGTTCCCTGATACTGACAGAGGTGCTCGGGAGCATGTACAGGTATTCTAGGCCCTGGAAAGGCATGCTGCCCTTTAGAGTTCTAGCACAGTACACTACAGCTAGTGTCTATTTCCTGTATTCCCTCCAGGACTATAGAAAATTCGATAGCAAAGACTGCGTGTCTTTTTCACTCTTGCCCACAGCACAGCTGGGTAAGTATCACTGACTGTAAGAATGAATGGGTTCTGTTCTGTGGATCACGTGAGTCTGACTGGCTACAGAACTCTCAAAGCCCAGAGAATACCAAGCCAAGGGACTGAGGAGGAGCTTCCTGGGTTCTAAGGCTGAAGTCCACACTTAACAGCACACAGAGATGATAACACCACTTCATGCAACTCTACCTGCACAACCTGCCAGCCCACTTCCCTTCTAGTCTTTCTGCAAATTTATCCTCTTATTTCTGTTCTCAAAGCTCACCTTAGAGATGTTTCGTGCTTTGAAGTTGAACAGTTCAGTTTACCGGCTTAACCCCCTCCTCACCAACGCTTCACTGATGATCAGGCCCACTAGCTACTCAGCTTCCCAGATGGAAAACACCCAGCAGTCTCATCCGCCACCTCCTTCCCTTCTAACGAGCCCCAAATCTGGACCAGCATTGAGTCTTATTAACTCAACTTACTAAATATATTTCGGGTCTACACAGTCCTCCCAACACTGCCACACTTCTGATTTAACCTTCATCTTTTGTCTAAACTAGGGGTGGCAAACCTTTCAGAGCTTTCAACAATACAAACAGCCCACTGCTGCAGGCACCTAAACTATGTTAAAGGATCAGAATTAATTTAACTCCTCCTAATCCAGGATGACCTTTCAAAATGCAAATATGAACATGTCATAACTCAACTATAGGACAGACCTTAACTCTTGGCTTGGCACTTGCTTTGGTCTAGCTCTCACTACCTACCCAGCTACCAAATGCAGTCTCTACCCAGTCCTCCCACATACTTACTACATTCTAACGTCACCTAAGTATCCACCACTTATCAATCACATCAGGCTTTCAACTCTTTGCCTTTGCAAACACAGTTCCTCTAAATAGAATACACTGCATTATCCAAAAACCAGTATAAATCTCCTTTAAGGTTACATGTACTCCATGCTAGTGTGCTAAGCTGTAAGGTTAAAGCAGCAGTGATGGTTATTCTTATTTACCTTTCTGCTAACACCAACATGTCACTTCCTGCTGACGAGCCTGGTCATTTGCCATCTTGCCCTTCTAATTATCCTTTATTCACTTGATAAATATTGCCCATCAGTTTTAGATTTTCTTAGTTTACCAAATATCCCAAATGAAGTACATAAATAATAATAAAAACCTTAATGTTGTTTTGTGTTATCTAAATTTTACACAATAGATATTACTTTTGTAATGAAAAAGAAAAGACAAATGTCATCTTTAAATAACATGTATCAAAAAGAACAACAAAAATTCAAAACATCATCTTTTCAATATGGTAGATTTGAAAATAAACTAATCTCACCTGAAGATTGGGATGTTGAGATTATTGCCTGAAGCGATGTATGGCGCTTTGATGTTATGGCAGAAGAGAATGAAAGTGAGCAGCAGGTAGTCAATATGAGATCTATGGACTGGTAGAAATATAAGGGGCAAATTCGTCTAGGAGAGAGAAAAATACCAAATGTTAGTTTCAAATATAAAATGGTCACATTTTGAATGCATTTTGGTTGCAGTCATTCAAACAATGGCAAATCAGTACTCACGCTTTTAAAACATTTTCCAACAATACATTCTTTCAATTTAATACTTACTTAGCTAAATGCAAGAACAACTACAAAAGAAATGACTTAAAGAAGAATAATCAAAATTTCAAGATGACTTTGTATTTCTGAGAGGCAGCTCTAATCAGGTAAAAAGAAGATAGAATTTTAAAGCCAGACTTGGCTTTAAAATTGAAATCCTGGACGCATCATTGCCTAGGCCTTGGGATAATTTCTTAATTTATGTGTGCCTCTCTTACCGTAAGGAGGGGCTGTCCACCTGATTTTTAGGGTTTCTGGTAGATACGTTACAAAAGAATTCTACAGATTGGTCCTCCGTCATCCTACTTCTCCCCAAATACAGATATTGCATTTATCACAAAAGTGCAATAGTTTCAAAACAGGTTGAAATATGTAAGACAAGACACCCTTTTTAAAAGCTCTAACATCATTCTACAAACACGGGAAAATAGAGGGGCAGAGCCCCTGAAATTCTTGCCTCAGTTGCAGCTTTAACCATCTCAAGTTGACCTTTGTGAATCTGAATGTTCCAGAAGAAGCTGTTGAACAGTTTTAGCAGCACCCATCCAGTCAGTCTGAAAGGAAAAACATTTCAGTCCATACACATTCATATTTCTGTAGGTGAATATGGGTACAGTTGACTTTTATCTATACCTAAGAGTACTTCTAAGTACTTGGCAGGTATAGTGGAAGTCTGTACATCTAACTTGCAGAATTAGAGAGCTAACATTCAATGCTTGCTCCTTATGGAAGTATCCACTTAGTGTGGACTAAAATCACATTTCACTCTTCAAAGGCAATCACATTTGTACTTCAAAGGCAAATGTCCAAGCTAATATATACTGGGCAGATGATCCCTCTAACCCACACAAACTATGCCCTTTAAGACATGAATGTGTGAGCCCTGACTCACCAGCAGGACAGCAGATGTCAGCAATAAAATAAACAGCTGCTACCAATTAGCAGCATCCAAGGCATCGTGAAGCCTACCACAGTGTTCAGTGCTCTCTGCCCAGATGCATTGGCTCTGGTTGGAAATACCTCCCTTGACTTTTAATACCTGATCATCCCCGGAGAGACAGTGGCAACCATTTCTTGAAGAATCTTTTTGGCTTTCTTTTTCACTTTTTGGACAGCTTTGGACTGCTGCTGGGCAGAACCATCGGGGTTCAATTCGGCAGCCACTTCAGCAATTGCCTCTTGTACTCTGATTTGAAAATGGAAAGACAACGTAACTGGTTATGTTACTTTCTGTTTTTAGTATTTTCTAAATTGCAACTATCAGTCAGTAGACAAAATCTCCCTTTCCTTCATAGGTGGTGACATAAAAGAATAAGCTCTTTACAAATGATCTTCCTGATAGCCTATTAAAAATAAAGGCTATAACATTTGTAAATCAATGAATTCCTGAGGAATCTGAAAAAAGAATTTAATTCTAGCTGGCTGTGGTGGTGCACATCTATAATCTCAGCATTCAGGCTGCTATGCTAAGGCAGGAGGATCGTCACAAGCTCAAGACCAGCCTGGGCTACTTAGACAGTTCGAGGCCAGCCTAAACTACATAGCAAAACCCTCTCTCAAAAATCAAAACAAAAAATTTAATTCTAATTCAGTGGGTGACAACTACATTAATTTGAATGTCCTAGTTATATGTGAAGATAAAGTCTCACCAGCAAAAAACAAAAAAGAGATTACCAAATAATTCAAAGTCACACAAAACCCCCTGCCAAAGTAATGTATGATTCTTCCTTTGAAATCCTAATGTATTCCTGACTTATCCTGTCACTTCATTAGAACTATGTGTGAAAATCTCTGAGAAGTATCAAAGAGGAACATAAATATTTATAAATGTTTTCAAATCAAACTAGAATTTTAAAAAGGTATAGCTAAAGAACAAAACTGCACTGAGCAATAAGAAGTGAGGTAAAAGGAAAAGTTTAATACAGTTTTGTAAATCTTACACTTGACACAGAGACAAAAAGATTAAACCTCCTTAAACCACTGTAACATTCCAGTTACTAGTGAAAAACACATCAATGGAATGAAATATACTTGAAGTTTTCAACTAGATAACAGAACATTAATAATCCAAGAGAATTTCAAGTAGTTGTTTTCTACCACCATTGCTACTGATTTTAATTAATGACGTATAGTGAAATGCCACACAATCCCATAACCATTAACATTAAAGGACCAATTCCAAAGACCATGTGCCCAGTCTTGAATATTATTTACTGTATTTGGCAGGGAATGTTTCACAAGTATTCAGCGTGACTGTTACACCTCCATGATCAGTTAGACACTGGTTCATTCAGGAAATACGCTGCAGCTCTAACAACAGTGCCACAGGGTCTACAGATGGCCCTCGTGAATTCAAAGCAGTTTTTCATCACTGGGTCACATTCCCAAACCCAGCTAGATCGCTACAACATGGCCACACCAAGGAGCCAAACAGAGCCACCTTCACTCAGACTCCTGCATTTATGTATCACAGCCCCGCCCGCCTGCCATGGGGCCCAGCACCTTGTAATTAGATGTACCTGGGTGACCCTGGAGGCTGCCTCAGACTTCAAGACTTTCTAGCCTTCTGCTGTTTCTCTTTTCAAAAGTACAGGAAGGGGCTCTGCAATTCTCTTAGTGGGCTAAGGAAACTCTTCCAAGAGAAACGCAATTATCATAACTTTCCCTCTCTAGAATCACATTCAGACCCAGGAAAAGTTTCCCCCACCAGAGAAGAGGCGACAAAAAGCCATCGCCTCATTTAGAAAGAGGTTTCAGCCTTTCCTCTGAGGGCAGCTGTCATAGATTACATGGACCCCTTTATCTGCACAGGCACTCTGCTCCCAGAACTGTTCTGTCCCTCATCCAACTCTGCCACAGCTCGGGAAGTTTGCTGCAATCTGAGGCCTGTTCTCCTGACTCCTAGTCCCCTAAACACACTACTCTAACACTGCCTCCATTCCCCATCTCTCCCTCCCCTATGAGGAAGGGTATGTAAACTTCTGAATCTCACTGGGTCAGTGGGTAATCACTCTACTGTGACTCTCAGTGCCTGCTGGTAAGTTCCAATGCCTTTTGGGGAAACCTTTGGAGGAGAGAAGAATCTCCTCCTGCCCTCCCACTTCATTCCATGGTGTTCAAGCAGCCTGCTAATTGTAATCAAGCTCCTCTAAGAGAAAACACAGTCTCTTTCTCTCCTACATTTTGTGACACCTTCCTACTGTGGGAATTTGACCTAGGTACTCAATAACTGTTTGACAAAAACATGAAACTCATTTCTTTTTTGGTTATAAAACAGGAAACACTATGACCCCAGTATTCATTTTATAGAGAACTATGTGCCTATCTGAATTCTGACTCACAACTTGTCTTTCATGTTCTAGAAGCTTATTCAGTTATTTATCCATAAACCAGAACTATTCTTCCTACATGGCCCATTCACCAAAACCATCCATCCTCCCCCCCCCCGCCCTCAGTCTCCTTAGGAGCTTAACATTTAATGTTCAAAAATGCAAACACATCTCAAGATGGAGTTCAGGCAAACCCAAGGCTAATGAAAAGACGCACTTCCCCTGCCCACCTTGGCAACAGCATCCTCACCCTCACCTGCTGCTGTTCAGCACGTTTTCCGCCACATTGGTGGCAAACATGCCCTTATGGACATCCCGCTCTTGAATAAAAAGTACATAAGAAAGACGTCTTGCAAGCCATCCTCGGTGCCTGCGAAGCAAAAACAGTTTACCAGATAAGTACTGAAGGTACACCTACAACAAGGTGCTTGAACAAGGCAGCAGCTCCTCCCATAAAATAAAGCCAACTCCCTACACTCAAGGCTCCCTGTCAGCAATTTTCCTGACTGGGCAGAATGCTAAGAAGCCGGTTTTACTCCTAATTGCTAAAACTGATACTCAAAATTTGTGTACTAATACTTAAATAGTTTTATTCTGCTGAATAGTAACCCTAATATAAATACAAAAATAAAAAATCGAATTTATTAATATCACAAAAAAGGCAAATATTTTCAATGCTACACATGTGTAGACATTGACAGATAAACTATGTAACTTACAGCTAGATCTATGGGCTAAGGAAAAAGTGAAACTTGGAAGTCTTTTCCTAGAATGAAATTTATTATTATAGAATTTCAGCTAATACAATCACTGACTCTCAAACTAAATTAGAGCTGACCAGACCAAAGTCAAGCAGAACTGGCCTATGATCCAAAGATCTCAACTCTGGGTTCAGGAATCAGCAGTTCTTTTTTCTTTCAAACACATACTCAACATACATAAGGGTTAGAACACAGTCTTGTCAGTGACAGGAACTGTTCAATCTTTAGTCTGGGGGAATAAGAATACAGACTGCAGAATAAAACACTACAAGTCTTCTCTGTGTCTTGGTTTAACATCAGTTGTAATGATTACATAATACTGTATCCTCATCTCCCTCCATAGTGATACAGAGAGTGGGAGACTCCAAATATAAATTCACTGACTCTGAAAAGATCCAAAAGTAATTTGATAGAGAACAGTGTATGGATCACTGTTTCTTCATCTCTTTATTCGCACTTTTCTTTCTGTTTTCCTGTCTCAATATTCCAAAACGTTAGCCCAAGTTGGGTATGGTGGCATCTGCCCATAATCCCAATGCTCAGGAGGCTGAGACAGAACTATCATTGTGAGTTCGGGGCCAGCTTGGGCCACACAGTGCATTTAAGACCTGCCTGAACTGCACAGGAATAACAAATAACAAACAATAACAAAAAACTTTAAAAATAAAACATATAAAAAATTTAGTACAGTATGTTATGTGTTCATTCTAACTGCTTCCATCAGTGAACACTTCTGTAATTGTTACTAGACTACACGAAGGCCAAGATCTCCATGAAATCTCTTTGGAACTGACTAAAGGTGTGTGAGTGTACATGAGTGCATGAATAGGAGTGTGTAAAATCATGTAAAATCATGCATAAGTGTACGTGATGGAGACTACAAGAAAAAAAGTGCATGCACTAGTGTGTGTAAAAATAATTATGCTTTGCTTTATATCACACGTAAACTAAATAGCTCTATAGGGAGCTTATTTCACTGAACATTTTCACATTCCCAAGTCAATTTGGCCAATGCTATTTTTTTTAACAGCTTCCAATTGTGGACCGCAGGCAACCCTTGGTTTCATATGGAAAAGGTCTATTTACAAAGTATGTAAATACTCTATTCTTTGTGTGAGGATCTTAATCATATCAACTAAGAAAAACAAAAATATTTCAATGTAAGTCCCTCCTCTCTTTTTTTAAGTTTAAAGGGGAAAGAGAGTGAAAAGTGGCCTGAAAGCAAGACAAAAATATGTCTTGACTTCAACTTTAGTTCTATTTTTTAAAAAACCTCAATATATATACAAATATTATCATTCTAATATGTGATCTGATCATCTAATTTTTAATAGTAATTCTGAAGGTCTCAAATCTAAAAATATGATTTCTTGAACCAATCTTTCATAGAATTTCAAGGATGTCTGATCACTTGAACCTACTTCTTATCTGTCTCAGGGATCTACTTCTAGAATTATAAGGACTAGAAATATTTTGGGCTACTATTTCTCTTGCCATATAGACATTCATAGAACTATTCAATTCTTCCTTGTCCTGTAACCTGGATTCATATAAAACAAAAGCCCTTTTCTCTGTCTCTGGCACTTGCAAATTCATCCCTAAGTACCTTGAATTTGAAGAAGTCTTAGATAAGTAACAAATCAAAGAACATTTGTTCTTATCTAAGAATATTTCCTACTACCTTGTAAATGATGTAGATTTTAAACATTCATACATTTTTAAAAATAGCTGCAATAGATCTTAAGACATACTAATCTACACCTCACCTCTGACAAATATTTCCCACATTTTAGCATACATCGTATGCAAAACTCAGTATTTAATGCTCTAAGTAGCAGTGAAAGTAACAGGCTCGTTTCCATGGATGTTTGTAAGCACGGCAGCAATTAGCAGTGACAGGTCTCTCTGTTGGTTGTTCTGCTTCTAATTTTTCGATAAAGCCTCTGTGTCAAAAGCTCGTATTCTAGACATGCTCAAAAACAGATTCACTTTAAAGTATGTTCATTAATACTATGGAGTTTTTCTTTTGAGACTCATGAGAAGCACCAGAAATTTCTTTTTACCTTGTGTGAGTTTCATTGATATAAATAACATTCCGCAAACCCAAAGATGGGATACTGGGGTTGAAAAATTTTTCCTAAATAAAACAAAATAAATGTAGACATAAATACACAATTGGATGAGTGAAAGACTCACATTAATAGTTCCTGACAACTTTTAAAATTCAAGCATAAGATTAGGCATTGCTTCAAAAATCTAGCTGATAAAGAAAAAATGTTTTATTGTGAAAGGTACTCTTTGGCCTACAAAGGTCACAAACTCAAAATAAATTTTTAAAGCCTTAAAACCAAAGGAAATAGTGCCTTTTCCCTTCCAGCTCTACTCCTCACCTCCATTCCAAAACAATGAGTCATTTAAGGAAAGTCAAAATACAAAACACTCTGGAAAGCATCATGCAGTTATTGTTAAATTACTAATTCTCCTAACATATGAGACACATAATAATTATTATCCCCACTGTATAGGTACAGAAACTGAGGCTGGTAGTGTAGGATTCAACCTTGCATCCTGTCCCAAAAAGTATGGTCTTTTTAGTCCCCTAAAATGACTGTCTACTTAATGATAAAATGTCCACCTGCAGATCACTGTCTTTACAAGTGATCTTAAAAGATAACCCAAAGATGGCTCTGTTGAAAAAAGAAAATCTATGATTTTACTAATGTGGACAAATAAATGCTTTTTAAGAAAGCATAACATATCCCCAACGAAAGAAATAAAAATATGTGACATCTCTTTAGAGAAAAAGAAAATTGGATTTCAACAGAAAGACAAGTATCGGAGAGTTACTAAAAAATTTTTAAAGAGAAAAAAATAAAAATAAAACAAGGCTCAAAACAGGCTAATAGGAGAGTAACATAATTAATACATTGCATATGTTATTCAGAGTACCAGATTTAGGCATGAGGGCCAGGCATCCAGCTCTGCAGCACAGTGCCTGCCTGGCAAGTACAAGGTTCTACATTCGAGTCCCCATACCAAAAAAAAAAAGATGTAGGCATGAAATATTGGCCAAACAATATTAGCACAAACCTTTTTCTTCAATGAACTAAGAGAAACTAGCTATATAACTGTCTTAACTATCTTGTGTGTGTTTGTACTCCAAACTGTAACTACCAACAAATAATTTCTTATATTTGTACTCCCTCGTGATTTAAGAATATACTGTAACATTATACATAAGGTAATGTATTGGTCTAATATTAAAGCTCAGGCATTGTTTTGGGGGGTCAGGGGGGGATGAAACGGTACCAGGAATTGAACTCAGGACCTTGCCGCTTGCCAGGCAGGCATTTGTGCCACTGAGCTATATGCCTGGCCCTATGGCATTGTTTTGAATAAACATTCAAAATTAGAATTGAATATGATGCCAAATCTAAAAGAAAAGCCACACGACCTTCTAGTTAAACCTTTATTTCCACTGTCCTAAGAATCTGACTTGATCTCACTCCTAGACTAGAAATTCTCAGGATCCTTTGATCCTACCAATTCTTGCAATGAGGCATCTATGATTTAAAAGAAGCAACACTGTAGTAGATGTGAACTGTTATAGTGAACTGGTTGGCTCTACACAAATTTCCTAGTGTTCGTAAATCCCTTAATACCACACTCACACTCAGAATTCTGCTTCCTGCCAAGTCATCCCTCAGTAGAAAACCCACGCAGCGCAGCGGCTATTAAGCAACCTCTAACATAGCAGGCATTTAAATGGCAGAATTCCTACATCCTAATAATGGGATTATCCCAGGAAAAGCTTCACATTCCAATATATGTTATCTTTTCTTTGTTTCTTTAAATAGAGGTAGCTGAACTCAGGCCCTTCACGATGAACTGGATCCTTAGTCCTTTTTGTTTTTTATTCTGATACAGTCTTGTGACATCACTAAATTACTTACCCTGAACTCAAACTTGTAATCGGCCTGCTTTAGCCCTCTACTAGAGTGCTGGTATTACAGGAATGAGCTATCGTGCCCAGCCAGATACACCTTTTACATGGTACCTCCACTACCTTAGAACAGTTACATGAAATTCTACACTTCCATGCTAAGTTGTCCCTCTCACCAACTGCCAGCAGAAGGACACCCATCACCCGATCTACTCGTTTCAAACATGATACGGATACACAGCTGTGTGTTTTCACCAAAATACAAACAACAGACATTAATACAGTGATGCCTCAGCTTGCAAACTTCACTGGCTCCAACGACTCTGAGCAAGATGGCTATGGCTGTGTTCACCCCCCCAATGCAGAGTTCACCAACAGAAGTGAAATTTTGCCAAACATGACTGTTCACAAACTGAATCATTGATGAACAGAAGCATTCCTAAACTGAGGTCTTAGTGAATACTCTTCCTTAAATCTTCATCTGAACATTTTAGTGACCATATTTCACTATCATAAAACCTACAGACATCCTCCAGGAATGCAGCCAGAGTCAAAAGCAAAGCCACACTTTTAACTTTATTCTGCCCCACTCTCTCTCATTCTCATTTTGCTAGGATTTAATGTTAAGTTCTTAAAGGTCAGCACCTAGAAAGTACATCAAGGTTCCTACCAATTCTCTGCAAGAGGTAATTCAAAGTAAGCTCTAGTCTTCCCTTAAAATCATACTAAAACCATGAAAGAACCAGAATACTACCAGGGTAGATTATGAAACCAATATTTATTGAATAAATGAATGGAAAGAAAAGCCAACCTGTCTACTTAAAATAGTTGGTTTATAAACAAGAGTCTTGGTTCTAAACATGAATTAATTTTATTAAGACCAAATAAAAATTTACACACTGCTGGAAACCCAGCCCACATCTCTCCCTCTGTCTATGAAAAGCCTGCAGGCGGGCACATCCTTACCCAGCTCTGGGGGGTGCAGGAGGAACAACATCGTCCAACAAACGGCCTCTTCCGGCTCATGAGGCTTTCTTTCCATTTTAATGTTGCAGACCTGAAGAAGGTAGGTCTAAAGCCACACTCAACCTAAGAAGCGTGTATGGAAAAAGTGTGTAAGTGGCAAGAGAATTATATCTGTCCACTTGATCTCTAAAATTATATTTCATACCGAAAATTACGGCATGCTTTTCTTTTGGTCATATAATCACATGTGTTACATTGTAGTTTCACTTAAGATAATTCCTTCTACAATCAACACTTAGAAAATAGCTTAATATATAATCAGAACTGATTACAACATAATCAGTAACGATCACTGCACACTTGATGTTGCATTCAGAGGATTGAAAAACTAAGCTGAGCTGCCTGGTGATGCATGGATGAATAAAGACATGCTATATATAAAACATGGAATATTATTTGGCTCTAAAAAAAGAATGAAATCCTTACAGCAACATGGGCGAGGCAAGACATTATGACAAGTACAATAAACTAGGCAGAAAAATGGAAGCTTTCATATAAGGAAGCTAAAAAAGCTGATCGCAAGCCAGGCATGGTGATTCATGTCTGTAATCCCAGCATTCTAGAAGGATGTAAGGGGGATCACAAGTTCAAGTCCTGGACAATTTAGTAGTTTAGGAGGACCTGTTCTCACCATTAAAAAAAAAAGAGTTCAGAATATAATTCAGTAAAAAAGCCCTGAGTTCCAGCCCTAGTATCAGGGAGAAAAAAAAAACCTCTCACTCATAGAAGTAGAGCAGAACAGTGACTCAGGTAGGGAAAATTACAGGATCAGTAAAGAAAGGTTGATTAATACATACAAAATTATAATAAAATGGGAGGATTAAGTTCTAGCATTCTGTTGCACAGTAGGGTGACAACAGTTAACAGTTATGATCTATTCCAATGTAGATAGAAAGAGGATTTTTAACATTTCCAACAAAAACAAATGACAAATGTTTGAGTTAACGGATGTGCTAATTATCTGAAATGATCACTGCGCATTGTATACAAGTGCTGAAATACACAATGTATCCCACAAAGATGTATAACTATTATGCCTGTTAAAATCTAAAAATAAATATAACTGACATCCCTAACAAAAATAAGATCTTCACTTAAAAAAAAAAACAGCCATAGAGAGCAAATTGGACTTCTGACAGAGCGGGATTAATAAAGCAAACTTCTTCATCCATCCAAATGCTAATGGTTAACCTTTAACCCTCAAATCCCACACTCCCACGAATTCTAAGGCCTTACACAGCAAGCAAGCTGCTCTACCACAACATAAAACGTCTTATTTTAAATGGTAACTTAACAACTTTCCTTCGCCTTATCAAGTGTTACAAAGGCAAGAATTTATATAGATATATTGCTCACTTAGGGTCAACCCCTCTTGCTCTAATAATTTTCTTTTAACTTGGAGTTAATTTCTCAAATCTCATTGATATGTCTTTCAGAATTTTTATATAAAGCAGACAGCATTTGAGATATTTAAAGCATGACAAATTATTTGAAATAGATAAAGCAATACAAAAAATGTACAATGTTGGATTGGATGGACATTAAAAGTCTAATTTTTTGATTTTTTAAAATATCCATTACAAAATCCATGCTTATTAAATGTAACTTATAGAAAGTAGATGTTAAAAGGAAGAAAAAAAAATCTCTTTATAATTATACTACCCAAAACAAGTACTAGGGTGTTTTTCCCTAGGCAAAAGTGTTGTGGTTTTTAACTCAATCACTTTACTTACATTTTCTACCCAATTTTTCTTCCTGTTAACATACTATTAAAAATATTAAATATTATTAGACTTCATAAGAATAATTTCTAAAGTCAGAGGCAGCTTCTATACCTGTTAACCTGGTATTACTGTATATAGCTACCAACATCTCTGCCATCATAACAATATTAATATGAACATTTTTTAGGGTGAATGCTTTCAACTTTTCTTTTAAACTTACCCATTCTTCACTTGTGTGTTTACATCGACCAAGACTGTATTCTGATGAATTTGGCAGACAAGAAACATCTATTGTGCTAACCGTCAATCCAGATTCATCCATGTCACAAGATGGAACTCCCAAATCATGTGCTACAAAAAATTCCACCTAAGTTAATGAGGAATCCAGAGAGTAAATACCAGAAATCTGATTTCCACATTATTTTGTTCCATACTAGCATATCAAATGAACTGGCGGGCTTGTATTAAAATTAGTCCCTGACATGTTCCCATGAGCTCAGGCTGCCCTGATTATATAAAGGAACAATATTCTTTGACTTCTTGAGCACGAGTAGTTGTTTAAAATTGTGAATAATCGCTTATTTCAGGTAGTAAAGAATTATTCCGTTTTGGTTAAAAAAATGAATAGCTTCTGGGAAAATGAAGGCATGAGTTTGTTTCATTAAACACATGTGACATGCATGCACATAAGAATTTTTTCTAAACTATGAACTGGAATTTTCACTCATATTTGTATAATGTAAAGTAGATAAAACCAACGACAGTATCTCGTTTTCTATTTAAACTGAAAGGAATTTCTTAATATTTTTATGATGCCCTAAAAGAAATGATACTTGCACTTTTAACACAGCTACAAAGCTCTAAAGGAAAAACACCATTGGGGAATGTCTGATTTGTAAGTTTCACCCTTTTGGATAAGCTTTCTCCTACCCTACAGGAAAATGTTCATGGAGAATGAACCCCTAAAGTTGATATGTATTAATGTAAAATACAAAAAGTTTCTTAACACCAGTCTCATTATTTTAGTTTTGGTTACTTCTCTCCCGTCATCACCTCGAAGCAATAATATTCCTTGAAAGATACATTCTGACTTCTTTGCATTCTCCTATGGATATGCGGCAGCCAGTAACTGTTATCCTCAAAATAACATTTGTCTTTAACAATTTACATAACTAACAATCATACCCATTAGGACTGGGGAAGAGAACAGTAAGGCCATGCACCTGTGATAAGAGTTCTTCTGTACTACTAAATAAAAATTCAGCACTCAGGTATTAGCTTCGGCGCAGAACGTCCACACAACAGGAGTACGCTGCTGCCTGAGAACAAGAAGTGGCGAGATGAGGGGAGGAAAAAAGAGATGTACCAATAAGAGTCCCACGCTTTGCTCCTCCTCCCTCTCAAGGTCAAGGATTAAAAAAAAAAAAAAACAAAGCGTTGAGAGGCGCCAGGCAGCTGGGTTGACCGATACAAACAGTGCAAGCCGAAGAAAAGACAGCGACAGAGGGGTCAACTCTGCGGCTTAAATGCCCCAATGCATACCATCCGTGTCAATCTGAACGCCCTTGTCAACTATGCCCTGCTTTCCTTTTCTGGAAAATGGATTCAATACCATAGACCTTACTCGGGCTGCCAGATACACACACACAGCTCCTAGTACAGTGACATGTTGTGAGGGTTCAGTCTGATTCGTGGTGGCTGCTGTCATGGGATCACCCAAGTTCCAGCCGCTCTCAGAGCACCCCTCTTGCCTCGGTGGCTTCCAGGGATGGGGCAGGCTGGTGGCACCACCTTCAGAAGGTCCTTGGGTACTGGGTCCATAAAGACTCTCCTCCTCCTTTGCGCTGCAGCCTGGTCTCCCAGGGAAAAGAACCACGTGGACCCCTACCGTTGCATGAGCCGGGCCCATTCCCCGGAGGAACCTCGGAGCTCGGGAGAGGGCAACTCCGACCGCACTGGAAACTTTGAGGTGCTGAGCCAGGGCCGATGGAGAAGAGCAAGAAAGAAGAGCGGCCACGCACCTGTCCCCCGTGATCCCGGCCCAAACTGCCTCTTCCAGCCCGCACCCGCCCCGGAGGCTCCACCGACAGTTTCAGCTCCAGCGCTCCGGAGACTGCAGCTGCCCGCACTTCACGCCTGGGTCAGTGCCCGCTGCAGCATCGTCTCACCCTGATGACGTAGGCGGGGGCGCGCAGAAGTGAGGTGGCAGGGCGGGGCCAAACGTGGAGCGCCTTCGTGGCTCAGTGCGCCCGCAGGTCCCCAAGTATAGACTATGCCACGCAGGAGGGGTGTGTGCTGAGCATGGCATGTTAGTGCCTGAACAAGGGGTTACCCTCCCAGGCTTGTGAGTGTGTGACCTGTGTCTCAGTTTCATTGCATGAGCTCAGATGATCTGTGAGCTTCTGTCACCCTCAGGCTGAGGCGGGGTGTTAGTGTGTGTATATGAACTTTTATGAGATTTGGAACACTACAGAGACAGGGGAGGCATTGGTTGCAAAAGACATTGGGTACAAAAGGTCGTATAATTTCAATAAGAATAGCTGAGACTCCTAGGAGGAAAATGAATGAAAAAATAAGCCTTGAAAGGTACAAAGCCTCCATTAGATAGGATTTTTTTCTTTCTTTTGAACTGTATTTTATGGCATCATGAATATTGTTAATAAAAGGGATTTCGAAGTGTACATTTCAACTATTCTCACCAAAAAATGGTGTATGAGGTGATGGTATGTTAATTAGCTTGATTTAATTACTTGTATTTATAAATCATACTATAGACAAGTTAGGTATAAATATTATAAACTGTCAGGGCTAGGGCCTCAAGGGAATCAATACAAACAAACAGCGAAAACACATTGCAACCATGGCTCTAGGCGTATCTATCAAAGGCCAAGTCTCAAGATAAAAGACAAAATGACTAGGCCAACATGATTTGCCAATAAATAAATATTATACTATGACTGATATCACCTGGTCCAATAAAGTCTCAATAGATTTCTGTCACCAAGATGAGTATCAGGACCTCCTGATTCATCTCTTCCTAAAAAGGGCCTTGTTCTTCCTATGTACCCTTGCTGTATGATTTGCTTCCCCATTGGATCCGTATTACCTAAGTGACTTTATTGTGCTCTTACTGGTTGATCATAGTTTTGACCTACATAATACTTGCCTCATGATTTTGTATCCATCTCATGATTTTACTCTATAAAGCTTCCTCTGCAAAGTGAGGTTCATGGCAACTCACTTTTGGGTCCCCTCCTGTCTCTCAGGTGCCCTTATTAAATTTTTCCTATTCTCAACCTCTCATGTTCCTTAGATTTCACTCTTCAGTTTTGGAGAACACAAACTCAGCATATTTGACATCTAGAAAATTGGGAGTTGCATTTATTTTGCCTATGTCAATAACATTTTGTACTGTATACATATAATTTGTCAATTTATGATTTAAAATAATGTTTGAAAAGACTTGAAGACTGAGTGGAATTTGCCACACCCTAGCCATCTGAACAAAACAGGACTGGGTAGAAAGACACTCTTTCACAATATTTGTCATGCCTTGACAAGGCCAGTGGTTATCGTGAGTGTTAGCAGTATAGAAGGAAAATGATAACCTCTTGCATGCACTCAAGCAAGTATTAAGTATGAACTACGACATGAAAGTACAAAGATAATTAAGATCAGCTTCTAGCATTTGCCACAATTGGTCTTTGTTCATCTTGCAAACACTGGCTATAATTTCTGTTCAAAATAAATCATTGTGTACTTCTATCTGGATTATAAACCAACCACAACTTCCTAGTCCAAATGCCTAAGCTTGGTTCATAAGGTTGGCACTTATGGGCCTCTCCTTATCCACTTCTCCAGCAGGAGTTTCTACCTCTGTCCCTAGACAAGCTAAGGGCACACATACTCCTAATTCTGTTCATGCCGCTCTTCCTAATTCTTTACTTCCTGAACTGGTCCTCCTAGCCTTTGCTCATCTCTCCAGCCCTCAACAGTCTCGCTTTCCTGAGAAATTCCACAGATTTACTATGGCAGCATGGCTTGAGTCTTTGTTAGTTGGTGTCACACTTCCATAAAGATACAAACATCACAGCAGTGACTTGTCTCAGTCTCTTTAGTGATAACACAATGCCTTGTTATAGTAACTTTTCAATTCTTGTTGAACCTGAGAAAGAAGAAGAAGATTTCCTTCTCTGAACTTTCTACTTCTGCATGAAAATCAATCCCCAAATACAAATATTCTCTTTTAAAACAACCCAAAAACAGTCAGCATGGATATTCATAGTTTTAGAAAGATCTTGGTCTTCTGTGGTCAAGAGCCCTGTATCTTTATTCAGTATCACATATACCTTGGCAGCATGCTCCAGTCTCAGTACTTGAGGATTACATGTTGACTAGATGAATTCTAATCCCAAAGGGTTATGAAATTTTGTAAGCAAATTACCAGTCTATGACAAAGGAGAAAGGGGGAGGTAGAAATGGAGAAAATTGCCTTAGGGTTTGAATCACTACTAAAGTAAAAGGAGATGAACTAAAGAGGTTACCACAGGAATTTATAAATGTAAGCCAGAGAGAAAAACTGCCTTACTTAAAAATCATTTGTAGACAACTCTTCTGTAACTCCCTATTGCACAAGGGTGACTATACTTGTAAAGGCAGATTCTATGCCAGAGGTTTCAGGTTACTTAATGAAAATTGATTTTGGAAACAGGGACACCCTTAGCAATTTACGGTATCAACAGAACAATAATTTATACTTACACCATCTAATCAGCCAAGATAGAACAACAGAACTGAATTTACTATCTAGTCTAAAACAATCAGAAATAAACAAATAAACCACTGGCGACAGGAACAAGTCAGTCACCTTGGTTGTCAAGCTGCAGTACAGAGCTGGGGACCTCAGGAGACCAAGGCAGACTCTGAGTTTAAGAACTAAAATTCAAGACTAGAAAGGTCAAAGAAACTAGAGCTGGAAGCAGAGTACCAGAGTGAAGAAAACTGCATAAACAAAGAAAGCACCATGGTAAGCTGCAGAAGAGCTTCCTTGAGTCAGCTGGTTAGCATATACTGTGAGGAAATACCCAAGACTAGGGGAAAACAACAGATAAGGAGAAATCACTGAAGCTTGTACAGAGCAGGGATTATGAGTCAGTGATCATACAGGCCCAGAAATAGTCCTTGATCCTACCTAACCCTGCACTGAAAAACCTCACACAAAATCAGGAAGTATCTAGTACCCGATAAGGTAAAATTCAAAATGGCATTGGAGTGAAATTTTTAGGCATGCAAAAAGAAGCACAAAAGAATGGTCCATAGTGCCAGGTGTGGTGGCATAGAACCTGTAATTCCAGCACTCAGGAGAATGAGGCAGAAAGATTGCTGTAAATTCAAGGCCAATCTGGGATACAGAAGTGGATCCAAGGGCAGCCTGACCTGCATAGTGGAAACCCAGTCTCAAAAAATAGGTCCATAGTAAACACAGGGAAAAAAATCAATCAATTATGAGAGTCCTACAAATGACACAGATGATCAGTTAGTAGACACAGAGACTTTGAAAGTAATGTATCTACAGTGACCATGTTCAAGTAAAAGAGAAAGGAGGTTAAACTTGAGACATCAAAAATCTTTTTAGAGGATTCAAGGCAAACACCTAGAGATTGTAAAATCACTATCTGAGGTTTTCTCGCCACACATGAACACACACACACACACACGCCCTTGTATTAACAGCAGATTAGACATCACTAAAAAAAAAAGAGTAAAGAATTTGAAAATATTTTGATAGAAACTATCCAAAGTGAAATACTGAGGGAAAGAAAAGACTGAAAATACAAATGAAGAAAATATACTCCATGAACTTAGTATACATGCAGTTGGTGACCCAGACAGAAATAATTGAATAATGGATCAAAACTTCCGAAATGCACTAAGAGCTCTAAATTCACAAAAGTAAGAAACTCAACAATGTAAGTAGAAACAAAGAAAACTATACCTAGGGATACCAGCATCAAATTGCCAAAGCCAGTAATGAGAGATCCAGTCTAACCAGTCAAGATGGAAAAATAAAGCTATTACTTAAAAGCAATTAGAATAAAAGAGACATTACTGCACAGAGAAACAAATAACAGCAGACTTCTCGTCAGAAATACACAGATCAGAAAATAGAGTTGCATCTTGCAGTACTAGATTTAAAAAGTGTCTATCTAGAATTATTTCATAATGATTCAAGACAAAGGTATGTCTGAACACTGAAAGTATTTATTACTAAGACTCATGCTATAAGAAATGTTAAGCCACATGAAATGTATGCCTGTAA